TTTTTTGGGGTGAAGTGCTTGGTGCAGTGAAAAGTTGTACTTTAGTAAAAGTATACAGGCTCACTTTAAGGCAACTTTTGCCGATTTTCACTTAATAGCTCTGCTGAACAATTGGCTCACATTAGTGTGTGCCTTAACAATCAAGTGCCAGCAATCAAAATTGATTTATGTTTCATGTATTCATCATAAAGTAAACGATGCTATAAATGTAAAGTTTGTCAGTAATCATGTGCATGGCTAGTTTAGTATTGATAGCTACAATAATACTGAAGTTGGACACAAACGGTAACTATCCAATGTCAACGTTTGCATTTTAGTCAATGTCTTCATGTTCAATTAGTTTTTTGTTGAGTTTGTAGGCTAAATTGAGAATTTAGTATGTAGTCAATTTTTGCCTCTTGCAGTTTGCCTGCAAACCTGCTCCCTCTTTGAGCGTTTAAGTTTTCTGAACAGAGAGCACGCATTTTGGCCAACTCGCCAAGAATTCCTAATTAAAAACAACGTTTCTCTGGCAATGCGGCGCCTGCTTATGCACTGATGACGGCGACAGGCAGTGACTGCAACAAAGACAAACGTGCAAATGAATAAATCGGTATATCTACAACATTCAATAAAAAGAGCATCTACATCAAAACATTAAGTTTAGGCAAATCGCATTCAAAAACATTGAAAATGTTTTTGTTACACAAAGTTAAAACAGTTAGAATGTCAATTGTCATTTTGATAGAGNGGCGCCTGCTTATGCACTGATGACGGCGACAGGCAGTGACTGCAACAAAGACAAACGTGCAAATGAATAAATCGGTATATCTACAACATTCAATAAAAAGAGCATCTACATCAAAACATTAAGTTTAGGCAAATTGCATTCAAAAACATTGAAAATGTTTTTGTTACACAAAGTTAAAACAGTTAGAATGTCAATTGTCATTTTGATAGAGCCAGAAAAGTTTATAAAAGTTTAAAAAAGTTGTAACAAAATTGTGTCAAATTTAGTGAAAAATAGAGGCGTTAAAAAACATAAAGTAAACAAAAAGTATTAAGCAAACATGTATTCACTATTCAGTAAGGTTGTGGCTGCAAAGTTAACTACCATTTGCAACTTAACAAGCTTTTCTACAAAATTAAAAAGAAATGAAATTGTACAAATAGAAGATAGAAATGAAAGTATGTTTGGAAAGTATCATCATAATTATCATGTGCCTCTGTTTCAGGCTTGCACTTTTGATAGAACATTGATAGTAACACAGAACAACATCGTACAGTGGTTACTTCTTGTAACTGCTGAACTGGTGTTTGAACTCGTAGACGCCCACAGTTTGTCCAGAGGCTTCGTCGTAGTCGGCCCAGTCATCACTGGACAGGTCCACTTCAGTGAACTGGCGACCACTTTCGACGTTTTTGCAAGCGAAGTTGGCCAGCGGGGAGAATGAGATGGGCGAGCAGCCACGGCAGTCCATTTCAATGAACGGCTTAAAGGTCAGATCATCGTCCGCAGTGTACGGGCGCAGAGAGCCGTCCAAGATGTCTGCGTGTTTGAGAAAAACAAAAGTGAGACTTTAGTTTAAAGCACATATTCAAAAAAAGATCCCAAAGTGAATACTTACTGACGGTAGATGGACGCTTGCATTCTTTGCACTTGAAAGACAGGTTGACGTTCGCCTTTCCATTCAAGATGGGAACGTTGGCCTCGAGTGGAAACGCCATGTCGTTCTCAGATTCAGCATTGCAATTGTCACACTTGAACTGTGAATTAAGAAGTCATAACTGGTAAGTAAAAAATCTGCAAAACATTTTTCTATGCATAAGTTGTTTACCTTCATGAAGAACTTGAAGTCTGGGCCAATGGTGAAATTAGTCACGTTTTCCAAGTGAGCGTTAATTTCAAGCGCAGTCACCTGTAAGACGCAAATGATTAGTATTTTGCAAATAA